CTTTACAATAAATAAGTAAATAAATCTTTTATAAAACCCTTCAGAGACAACAATCTCCATAAGCCTTCATGTCCTACAATGCCTTATTCAGCAACCTTTTGAAGATAGACTTTTAAGAGAATTCATTTCTTTTTTTTTTTTTAAGATTTATTTTATTTTTATTGGAAAGGCGGATATACAGAGAGGAGAGACAGAGAGGAAGATCTTCCGTCCGATGATTCACTCCCCAAGTGAACGCAACGGCTGATGCTATGCCGATCCAAAGCCAGGAGCCTCTTCCGGGTCTCCCACGTGGGTGCAGGGTCCCAAAGCTTTGGGCCGTCCTGGACTGCTTTCCCAGGCCACAGGCGGGGAGCTGGATGGGAAGCGGGGCTGCTGGGATTAGAACCGGCGCCCATATGGGATCCCGGGTGTGCAAGGCGAGGACCTTAACCACTGTGCCACCGCGCCGGGCCCGAGAATTCATTTCTTTATTCAGGCTCAGAATAAGCTTGACAATCTCAAACTAGTTAGGAACCCCCAGATTCAAGTAAAATTTTTTTGGAATAGTTATCTGTTGGAATTTAAGAAAAGACAATCTTTGGAATTAAATAATGCTACCACAGAAAAGGTACTGCTTTTTTCCCCCTGATATTCTAGGGCTGTGTATAATGTGTACTACTTAGTGCAGAGCATGGAGATATCAACAAATACGGTAAAGGAAAGGAAGAAAGTTTCATTTGGCAAATAAACCTCTAATTGTATCGAACTGCATACTGAAAAGTAGGTCAGTACTTAAATGACCACATATTCCTTTTAAAGTAATTAAATTGAATAAACTTTCCCACTTTCTACACATAGGAGGAACCAACACACCAAACTGATAGTACAATATTGCCCTCTGCTGGAACAACTAGGAAAGCTAAACCAGACAGAACATTCAACAGAACTTAAAACAACCTGGTGATAAAAAAAACTTTACCTCACTGCAAATAGTCCACACTGTGGCTGAAAATCACTTCTTTCTTTTAGCCCTACAACACTCTAACGCCTCTTTTGCAAAGAAGCCCTTCAAATATCTAAGGAGAGCAAATCCACCCCTCTGAGTTATCTTCTCCACAAACTGAATAACCCAAGTCCCAGTCACCCTCCCCCATTTGCAATGCACTAAATCATCTAAATGTGAGTTTATATTCTATTGCTCCTGTGGCAAATTATCACAACTGCAGAGGTTGAAAACAACACTAGTTGGGGCTGGCAGTGGCACAACAGGCTAATCTTCCTGCTGGTGTCGGCATCACATATGGGCACCAACTCATGTCCCAGCTGCTCCACTTCCCTTCCAGCGCCTTGCTTATGGCCTGAGAAAGCAGAGGAGGATGGCCCAAGGTCTTGGTGTCCCTGCACCCATGTGGAGACTTGAAAGAAGCTCCTGGATCCTAGCTTCAGATCAAGCCAGCTTTGGCAATTGCAGCTATTTGAGGAGTGAACTAGCAGATGGAAGATCTCTGTCACTCCCTCTCTCTTGCTCGGAAACAGAACAAACAAATCTTTAAAAAAAAATTACTAGTTTGTCATCAGCACAAGTGTATTTGGTTCTTTGAACTAACCTAGGTCTCACCGGGTGGCACTAAGGCATCAGCATGTTTCTTCTTGGAGGTGCTAAGGAACCTGCACTCCCTTGCCTTCTCTAGATTCAAGAGGCCACCAGCACTCCCGGCTTTTGGCTTCCCTTCCCCTATCCTAAAAAAAAAAAAGGTCAGGTTGCCACTTTCCGACTATTCTTCCATATGCACATCGCCTTCTCACCTAGACCTCAACAAGGAAAGGTAAAGAAAACCCAGAATAACTAAGATAATCTCCCTGTTTTAGGAGCTTGATGCACATCATCCCTTTTTCATGTAAAATGACACATTCACAAGCTCCTGGAATTAAAAAATTAGAAATTTAAAAACTAATTTGCTCCTTTCCTTTGTATAATCTCAACTTTGTCCGTCAGATTTTGCACATCAGTATAAACTGTGGAGACCTCAAGCATCCAGTTCTACGACTTTCCATATTGCTGTCTGTGACTCTCTGACCCTACCTCTATTTATTTTGCTTGCCATATCTTATTGCTGCCTATCAGTGTTTCATCAGCTACTGTGCCCTTTTTTCTTCTCTTTAGCATCACTCAGGTTGAAGCTGTCCTGACCAGATCAGAAGTTCCTAAGAAAACACACTCAGCAGAGACATTCCATCCATCTATATTCCAAACTCAGTGGAAAATGATGATGATAATGCTAACTGCAAAATTTTCTTCCTAAACTATTTTTTTAAAGATTAATTTTTCTTTTTTATTGGAAAGATTTACAGAGAGGAGAGACAGAGAGAAAGATCTTCCTTTCACTGCTTTACTCCCCGCAAAAGCTGCAGCTGAGCCAATCCAAAAGTAGGAGCCAGGAACCTCCTCCAGGTCTCCCACACAGGTGCAGGGTCCCAATGCTTTGGGCCATCCTTGACTGCTTTCCCAGGCCACAAGCAGGAGCTGGATGGGAAGTGAGGCAGCCAGCATACAGACACCCATATGGGATCCCAGCACATGCAACGTGAGGACCACTTAGGCTACAATGCCGGGCTTCTTGTTAAACTTTTAAATTAATGCTTTTCCAATGATGATAAATAAAAGTCATGGTTATAACCAGAAAGGAATTGGGAGGACAAAAAGTATGGCTAGGTTAACACAAATTTTTTTTTTTGTTTTATAAAAATATCTTACTGGAAACCACCTCTTTTCTTGCCTTTTTTTTTTTTTTTCAAATGGAGTGACAGAACAAGACGGAAAGACAGAAAGAGATGTTTCATCTCTTCCAAACGGCCACAATGGTTAGGTTAGACCAAACTCAACTGAGAGCTGAGAAAATCATCCAAGTCTCCCACGTGGGTGGCAACGGCCCAGGTGCTTGGACCGTCTTCCTGCCTTCCCAGGCACACAGCAGGGAGCTGGCTGGAAGGAGGGAGGCCGAGAAGTGGGGGTGGGGAGACTCCAATCTGCACTCAGTTAAGTGATGCTGGCACTGCGGTGACTTCAACCTCTGTGCCATAACACTAGCCCCTCTTTATTTCTTTTATAAGCAGAAATAAGCATCACCACACTGATTAAATATTTATTTACAGACCATGCATTTGGGATCATAATTTATCTCTTAGAAGTGGAAAAAGTGCAATCATTCAAATGACTTCATTGTATATTCCACTCTGAATTTTAAACTAACTAGATTCAACCAATTCTATACACACACTTATGTTCTACACAACAGTTCTAAATCAAAAACATTTACAAGATCTAAGTTGAAAAAAAAAAAGATCTAAGTTGAAAGCTACAATGTAGACTATGGCACTAAAAAACAGTCACATAGTTATATTCAAAATGCAAGAATATTGTGAAGGTATGTATATTTAATTTAAATTGGGATTCACTGCATGTAAGTTGGTAAAAAAGTAATTTATATACAGCCCAACCTGCAACTGCATTCACAACTCTAAGCGATAAAAGACAGTCACACGAGCAACAAAACATAAAAGAAAATCACATGAATAAACACAATTTTCTGAAGAATTGTGGGATGCAAAAGGTATCATGCATATGAAATAACAGAATTCTCAAATAAGTATTATTCCTAAGAAATGAATAGGGAAAAATCTATTACTCAATAACATAAATGAAAACAACTATTAATTCTCCAATAATTGGAATGTTCACATGTTTCTGCCAAATAGGCTACTGACTGGAATCAGTTATTAAAGGTGAACAGAGTATAAACAGAATAATCATATATTTAAATACAACATCTTTTATTTCCAACATGGAATGTAAGTGTCTCAAGTATCCACTACATATGAACTAAATACTGTTAGACTCATCACAAATATAAAAAACGGACAACATAAATTTTAATGTAAATATAAACTTTGGATGGTTTTGATGGTAAAATATATAGCTAAGTTTAGAAGTGTGTTTTTATTCTATTTTTGTTACTCAAAACACTGCAACTTTAAGTCACTTCGTTTTTTTGGAAGCTAGCTTCTGTTTGCCAAAAATTAGACATGATCAGTGAGAGATACAGTTAGGTCATTTCATTGCATGAACATTTCAGTGTACTTACATAAGCTAAAATGGCTACAGCAGCACCAGGTGATAAAATCTTAGGGCCCACCATTGATATGTGGCCCATGATTGATCCAACTCATAAGGCCATATGACTAAGTCACCAAGAGAGATACTACTTAAAAACCATTCTACTCTTTCACCTCCCAGCTTATCTTGACTATTCTTTCCAGCTTCACTGTATATGAATTCCACCTACCTGGGCTAAAGAACAACCGTATTAACCCCAGGGAAGTAAAGATTTAAAGTCAGGCGACTGAGTGACATGCTGGACTTCTTGGGGACAAGTTGTCTCATACACATACTGGATATGATTAGACCCATGCTTGTATTTTCAGACAAGGAGTGTCTCACTATACTTAACAGGAGTGACAAAGATAGGCTAATGTTTTGGCATCAGTTTTGACAGTAATGACCACTGCGATTTTTTTTTTTAAACAAAGGAAGAAGGCTAAGAAGGATGTCATTGCCCTCCCTTTTAGAACCACAAGTGCCATCTTTTTATATTTCACTGCACATAATAAAGGTGCATCCTAAGGGAAACAGCCTTACCCTAGAACGAAAACATACACCTGCCTCAAAGGATCTTGTCACATCTTTTTCTCTGTCATGCTCACACAGATCTAACACTCAAAAAATGTTTCCTATTGAATGGGGACCTTTAAGAAGGCTGCAATTCTGTGAAAAATACACTAATGTGAGTCAGCAATTCTTTATTCTTTTACTCAACATTTATTAAGTAGCTATAAACTGCTTCAATCACTAAATACACAAAACATGAAAAATATAATAAGGAATATTTCTATGCTCCCATTTTATGCTAATTTTCTCAGTTGCTTTTTAAATATAATTTTATGTATGCAAATGACCTTACCTCTCTTACAGATAGCTGTGCTGGGAAGGAGACTGAAAACATCAAGCTGCTAAATTCAAATCCGGAGGCCTCAACCTTCTGACACACCTAAGGAAGTATAACAATTACATAAATAACAAGAATTGCTAAAAAAAAAATTAATCTGTCAAGCTTCCCCATGGGGGCGGGGGAACTGTCACAAACATCCTGAGATGAAGTATTAACCAACGATGCTACCGCCTAACATCAGGAAGAATCAGAGCAATCAGGACTGACACCACAGAACAACCTGCTGAGTCCTGGAAGACTTCTGGGAGCCAGCATTGTGGTGAAATGGATAAGGCCGCTGGCTGCACAGCCAGCATCCCGTCTGGGGGCTGGTCCCTGTCCTGGCTGCTCCATTTCTGATCCAACTCCCTGCTAATGGCCTAGGAAAAGCAGTAGAAGATGACACAGGTTCCTGAGGTGTGGCTACCCCCATGAAATATCTGGGAAGAAGCTTCTAACTTCAGGCTGGCCTGGTTTTGGCAACTGCAGCCATCTGGGGGGTAAACCAGCAGGCAGAAGATTTTCGGTATCCCCACCTCTCTTACTTAAACAAATCTTTTATTAAAAAAAAAAAAAGACTTCTTTTGATCACTTAAAAAATTTTAAGTGTCTCCAAATAGATTAAAGCTAAACATAACCCAGTCACTTAAGTGAAAAAAAAGAAACGGGGACATAAAGATATAGACAGAGATCTCTTACCTACTGATTGATTCCCACAACAGCTGAGATTGCTGAGGCTGAAGCCAGTGCCCAGAATTTAATTCAGGCCCAACCAGCTAAGCCACCACCCACTGCCTCCCACAGTACACTTAGCCTGAAGCTGGAACCAGGAGCAGACTGAGACACAAACTGGAGTATTGTGTTACAGGAAACAAGTGTACCAAGCAGGGTCTTAACTGCTGCACTAAAGATCCACCCCTAACACAGCACTCCTGGCAGCAGGAAACAAAAGGCAATCCCACATCCAATCATTGACCCTCTACCATTGATCTTTTCTAGATTGTACTAGGTATGACTAGGCAAGACCTTTTCAGAGTGGGTTAAGCCAGTCATCTTACTTCAGATATCCAGCTCTAACTCCTGCCTGTACCTTCTCACCGAGGCCCCAGTGATGACTCCTGCTGCCTGGACTGTACCCCCAGAACCCAGCCCTGACTACTGCAGGCAAATGGAATAGGGAAAAGGATCTTCTGTCCTTTCTCTCTCAAAAGAAAAAAGCAATCCTTTCTAACTCCTTACCAATCTTAAATAGAAAAAGGAAAATAAACCACTATATTTTCCCTTCAGTTGAACACTTGTGATGGAAAAATGTAACTACATATTTCATTTATTTTCAGATAGGCTGATAAAAAGGTAATTTGAGAACAGCAGAATTTTTTTTCCTTCAAAAAAGCTTAGAAAATGGGGACTCTGTTGGGAAGGCAGCATTCCACGGGGTTTCACACACAGCTCCCTGCTAATGCACCTGATGATCCAAGTACTCGGGCCCCTGCTGTCCCATCAAAGCTCAGATGGGGTTTCCGGCTCCTGACCTCTGCTGGGTGCAGCCATGGCTATTGCAACCATGTGGCAGTGAACCAGCAGATGAAAGATCTCTCTCTCTCTCTCCTCCCCTCTTTCTCTGTCACTTTGTCTTTCAAATGAATAAATCTCTTAAAAACTTAACTTATAAAAATGTTCCAAAGATCTATTCCTGTGAATCAAACTTCAATGAATGTTCCTGTCCCTATGCAAACAAGAAGTATAGGCCTTGCAAGTGAAAGTGTCTACATACTTCCACCAATAATACAAACTAGATTATTCACCTTTTTAATGAACTCTTTCTCACAGAATTCTTGAAGAACTCCAAGACACACATTGCATACACGTGAAGTGGCATCCGCGGAAGCAACGCTTTCATCTTCAGACACAGAGTCCTTCATCTCTCCATTCTCACTTGGATTATCCGCGCCAGTCTCCAGATCTTGTAGTCGCATTTTTTTCAGAGGTGGGTTTGTGATTTCCAAAGTTAACTCATCTTTTTCAGTTTTCAGAAATTTTTGTAGGTCAGTGAGCAACTCCTAGAAAATTATAAAAGAAAAAGTAATATTCTTTTGACAAGGCATTTAGGATTTCAAGATGAGATGAAGCATAAAAATTAGGATATACAAGACCATATAATACCAATATAAATCAATTCTGGTACAATCATCTAACTTTATTAATCAGCTTTGGTTACAAAGGAATTTAAAAGAACCCTTGGAGCAGCTAATGTGTCGTAGCAGGCAAAGTCCTGTGGGCACTGATTGGAGTCCAGCTGCGTCTCTTCCAATCCTGCTCCCTGATAATGTATCTGGAAAAGCAGTGATGGATGGCCCAAGTTCCTGGGGCTCTGCACCCATCTGGGAGAGTCATAAGAAGCTCCCAGCTCCTGGCTTTGGACAACCCTAGCTCCAGACCTAACAGCTATTAGAAAGTAAATCAGCAGATGGAAGATTTCTGTCTCTCCCCTTTCTTTCTAATTCTGACTTTCTTTTTATCTTTTTTGTTACAAAGTCAGATATACAGAGAGGAGGAGAGACAGAAGGGAAGATCTTCCATCCGATGATTCACAATCCTAAGCCAGGAGCCAGGAACTTCATCCAGGTCTTCCACGCAGGTGCAGGATTCAAGGCTTTGGGCCGTCCTCGACTGCTTTCCCAGGAGACAAGAAGGGAGCTGGATGGGAAACAGGGCTGCCGGGATTAGAATCGGTGCCCATATGGGATACCAGAACATTCAAACCAAGGACTTTAGCCGCTAGACCATTGTGCCAGGTCCTTAATTCTGACTTTCAAGTAAATTAAATGAACATTTTAAGAAAGAGATGCTTAAAATTTATTTATAAGATAGAATTACAGAGAAAGGGAGACAGATCTTCCATCTGCTGATTCATTTCCCAAGTGACCATTATAGCCAGAGCTGGGATTGACTATAAAGCCAGGAGCAAGCAGCTTGTTCCAGATCTCCCAAATGAGCACTGGGTCTCCAGGGCTTTGGGCCATTTTCCGCTGCTTTCTCAGACTATCAGCAGGGAATTGAATCAGAAGTGGAACAGTCGGGACACAAACCAGCATCTATGGGATGCCAGTGCTGCAGGTGAACTAGTTTGCTATACTACCGTGCTAGCCTCGATAAATACTTTTTTCTTAAACACAAACATACTTACAAGCGAATTCTCTATATTACATTATGAACATATTTTCTTTTTTAATACTTATTTATTTTTTTTTATCAGAAAGGCAAATTTACAGAGAGGAAGATCTTCTATCCAATGGTTCACTACCCAAATGGCAGCAATGGGCAGAGCTGATCTGATCCGAAGCCAGGAGCCCCCCGACTCCTCCGGGTATCCCACGCGGGTGCAGGGTCCCAAGGCTTTGGGCCATCCTCAACTGCTTTCCCAGGCCACAAGCAGGGAGCTGGAAGGGAAATAGAGCAGCCGGGATTACAATCAGCGCCCATATGGAAGCTGAACATGCAAGGCAAGGACTTTAGCCACTAGGCTACTGTGCTGGGTCCACAAACAAATTTTGAAAAGGTTCATGTGTAAGTGAAACTGAAGTCCTAACTGAGCAGGAAGATTCTATAAAGAAACTGACTTGTTTATTTTTGTGCTAATTATACAAATACATTTAACTTAGCACATCAGAAATATTTGAATATGTACCCAATATAAAAAGTACCAAGAAGTACTTTTTCATAGTTTATTGAACAAATTATTAATTTGGTTTCTAGGTCAACTGTGAGTCTTTCAGCTGTATTAATTTCAGAGAACGTCAATTATAATTACTGACATATAAAATACCTAAGTTGTTGGGCCCAGCATAGCAGCCTATTAACTAAAGTCCTCGCCTTGCACACACCAGGATCCCCATGTGGGCACCAGTTCTAATCCTGACAACCCCGTTTCCCATCCAGGCCCCTGCTTGTGGCCTGGGAGAACAGTAGAGGATGGCCTAAAGCCTTGGGACCTTGCACTGATGACAGACTCAGAAGACATTTCTGGCTCCTGGCTTTGGCTCAGCTCAGCTCTGGCTGTTGCAGCTACTTGGGGAGTGAACCAGTGGATAGATCTTTCTCTCTGTAAATCTGACTTTTCAATAAAAATAAGTAAATCTTTAACAAAAACACCTAAGTAGTCAATTTTACTGGGTTAACTATCTCAATCACTGATACTTCATAGGTAAAATATTTGTTTAACGTGAACATTAACAGAAAAGTCAATTCAAAAACTAATTTTGAGGTTGCTTACTAAACAAATGCTGAGGATGTTGAAATGTGGCATCATCATTAAAAACCATTTGTGGGCCCGGCACGATGGCGCAGTGGTTAACGACCTCACCTTGCATGCCCGGGATCCCATATGGGAGCCGGTTCTAATCCCGGCAGCCCCGCTTCCCTTCCAGCTCCCTGCTTGTGGCCCAGGAAAGCAGTAGAGGACGGCCCAAAGCTTTGGGACCCTGCACCCGTGTGGGAGACCCAGAAGAAGTTCCTGGATCCTGGCTTCAGATCGGCACAGCATCAGCCGTTGCGCTCACTTGGGGAGTGAATCATCAGATCGAAGATCTTCCTCTCTGTCTGTCCTCCTCTCTGTATATCTGCCTTTCCAATAAAAATAAAATAAATCTTTAAAAAAAAAAACATTTGTGTGCATTAAGTTGAAAGAATCCCCGAGGCTGGTACTGAGTCATAGCAAATTCAACTACAGCCTGCAGTTCTAGCATCCCCTATGGGCGCTGTTGCTCCACTTCCCATCCAGTATCTTGGTTTCATCAAGGTATAAAATAAAGTTTTACAAAACTATATTTGGAACAATAATGATACATACAGACTTTTTTTCTCCCTTTTATATGTTTTTCAATTTTAGCTCCTACCTAGAAAGGAAAACATGGGATATTTGTCTTTCTGTATCCAGCTCATTTAATTCAACATGGTGTTTTATAGTTATGAATAGTTCTATACTTTTGTAGCAAATGGTAGAACTGCATTCTTTTTTTATAGCTGAATAATATTCCAATGTGTACACATGCCATACTTTCGTTATCCATTAACCTGATGATGGATCCTAACACATTTTACAAGTTTTGGTGAAAAGCAGGGAGTTAGATGGGAAGTGGAGCAGCCGGGATTAGAACCAGTCCCAATATGGGATTTCTACGCATGCTGCGTGAGGACTTTAGCCACTAGCCTACTGCGCTGGGTCCAACAAGCAATTTTTGGTAATATTCTAATTCAGCATCTCAGGAAAGGTGGACAAAAACATTAAATGTAGAACCAGCATCCGCTTCAAAGTCTCAACTGCTTCACTTCTCACCCAACTCCCCAGTAATGCTCTAGGGAAACCCAGAAGATGGTCCAAGAGTTTGGAGCCCTGTTACTCTTGTGGAAGATCCAGGTAAAGCTTCTGGCTTCAGCCTGGCCTCCCATTGGCCTTTGCAGCCATCTGAGTGAACCAGCATTTAGACCATGTAGACCATCTCTCTGTGTCTTCTCTCTGTAATTCTGATTTCCTGTAGCAGGACATTGTGACCCTAGAGGGTCAGCGAACACAGGATTACAGTTGATTGGATAATATTTGTATGAGAACAGTTGAGTGGACAGCATGTGAATGAGAACACTTGGTGAATAGACAAAACAAAAGGAGTTCCAGACAAAAGCATAGAAACTGTTACTGGTCTTTGTTGATGAGCTCAATACTTTCTTCCCTTATCCCATATGACCCTCAGTGTATAAAGTCTGATGCCACTGATAAACTTCGGCTTTGACCATCAGTCAGGGTCCACGCGTGTTATTATTGGCTCCGTGCACCAAGTCCATCGCTGCGGGATGGCGACAATTTCCAAATTAATCAATGTTAAAAAAAAATGCACTGGAGAATTCCTCCACAAAGCCCCTACACTAAATATTAGACACATCACTTAGGATGGAATCAGACTTATAATACCATTTTTTTAAGGTAATGGTTATTCCAAAATTATCACTAAATGTAATTATTTCCTTGCATTTTTTTTTAATTATAAAAGAATTGTTTGGGGTATTTGCTCTCCAAAGTACAGGTATTCATTTGAAACACAGAGAAGTCTTAACTTGGAAAAAGTGGAAATACCTTATAGGGAAGCTTGTAAGGAGTGTGCAGATCCACACCGCAGAATCGGAAGACACACCTCGGGCAGGTCCCTGCACTCAGCAACAATCGCGCCACAGGTTTCTTCTCCTCGGCCAGTGGAAACATACTAAATAATTCTACCTATAGAGGAAAAAAAAGTCAAAACACAAGCAGCCTTATTGCTACAGACACTCTCACTTTTAGGGACAAAACAACTCTAACGTCACAAAAGACTATTGATACTCTCCATTAATGCCCTTTTCATTATTCTAAAAACACTCCCTTTGGACAGGTGTTTTGTACCCACATGTTACATCAGAGTGCCTGGAATGGAGTCCTGACTCTGCTTTGGACCTAGCTTCCAATTAGAGTGCCCCTCTGGAAAGCAACACATGGCCAAACACTGGGGCCTCTGCTAGGCACTGGAGAATCCAGAGTTCCTGGCCCCAGCCTTGACTGTTGCAGGCATTTAAGGAGGGAACCAGAGGATGGAAGATAAGTTTTGCTTGTTCACTGTCACTCTCTTGCTCTACCTTCCGAATAACGACAGAAATAAAATACAAACATGAAGAAAGTCTATAAGCTAGATCAAGTAAAATGGTCTTAAGGTCAAGGATCCCATACGGACGCCAGTTCATATTCCAGCAGCACTGTTTCTCATCCAGCTCCCTGCTTGTGGTCTGGGAGAGCAGTCAAGGACGGCCCAATGCCCTGGGACCAATGTGGGAGACCCGGAGGAGGCGGGAGGCTCCTGGCCTTGGCTCGGCTCAGCTCAGCTCTGGCCATTGCGGCCATTTGGGGAGCAAATCAGCAGGTGGATGATCTTCCTATCCATATATCTGACTTTCCAATAAAAATAAATTTTTTAAAAAACAAACAAAAAAAATCAAACTGACAAGCAGATGCAAAAACATCAACTTTGCTTTGATGGTATTACAGCCAAATGGAAATGACCAAAAACTGAATAAATTTGTTCCTTCCATCCACTAACAAATCCTCCAACCAAAAATATTCAGTGCAATATGAGATCATTTACCTATAATATTGTCAATTTTGCAACTTGAATAAACTCACATAGAAAAAAACTACCATATCCCAACGAGGGGAAATTCACTCAGTCTGTTGCTAGGAGTACCAAAAGTTTAAATTATCTAACTGCTCTTGCAAAAAATAGGTCTTCCAGTCAGTGAACTCATTCCTTTACAATGATGACAACTGTGATATGTTGTAAAGCAATGATGGCATGGCAATGAGTGGTACGATGGACACCATCCTATAAAAGGCAACAGAGCCTTTTAATCCGTGTGATTTCATAACTCAAAGGAACTTGCTTCAAACTCGTACAAGGGTGAAGCGCTTAGCCAACAGCTTACTCTGAAGACATGATTGTTATCATTAGCCTATTTTCCAAGACTTGAAAGTCACTGCTCTTAAGTGTTTAAATGTTTGTGGCTACTTACCAAGAGTACATTGTTCATGTAAGATAACGAGAAAGGGGCCGGGCGCGGTGGTGCAAGTGGTTAAGGTCCTCGCCTTGCATGCCCGGGATGCCATATGGGCGCCAGTTCTAATCCCGGTGGCCCCACTTCCCTTCCAGCTCCCTGCCTGTGGCCCAGGAAAGCAGTAGAGGACGGCCCAAAGCTTTGGGACCCTGCACCCACATGGGAGACCCGGAAGAGGCTCCTGGCTTCGGATCGGCATAGCATCGGCCGTTGCGCTCACTTGGGGAGTGAATCATCGGACGGAAGATCTTCCTCTCTGTCTCTCCTCTCTGTATATCCGCCTTTCCAATAAAAAAATAATAAAAATAAATCTTTAAAAAAAGATAACGAGAAAGACAGGAGTACTGTTCCACCTTATTCTTCATCATAAAAACCAACAGCCAGAACTACAAGCACAGAGATGACCTCTGGCTGGGCTCTAATTCAGCTGAATCTGTGAGTTCATAAGGAGAGGTAGAGGAAAATAAATCAGCTTCTATGGGCCCAACAGTGAGTATTTTCACATACTAGCAGTGGAAACACTTATTCTTGAGTAAGTTGGACTCTCAGATAGTTTCAAGAAATTATACAATATATACTCTAAATAAATCTACATGAGTTTATTCAAGTTGCAAAACTTGACAACATGCACTGTGCAGTATTATTCACAGGTGCAAGCTAAATGCCTTCCCCCAGCCCATTTAATCTGTTAGTTTGATACTGAGAAAACTGGGATCCTACAAGGCACTAAACATAAGCAATTTTTGGTGTTTTCTTTTTTTTTTTTAAATATATTTATTTAAGAGTTACAGAAAAGATCTAGCTGCTAGTTTACTTCCCCCCAAATGGCAACATGGCCAGGCTGTGCCAGATCAAAGTCCACAGCAGGAGCTTCAAGTGGGTCTCCCACGCAGATGGCAGAGGCCCAAGTATTTGTGTTGTCTTCCACTGTTTTCCCAAGCACAAGAACAGGGAGCTGGATCAGAAATGGACAAGCAAGTTTCAAATGGGATATCAGCTCCACAGGTGACAGCTTAACCCCTTGTAGCATGATGCTAGCCTGCCATAGTCCAGCTCCAGCTGAGCTTGGAACTCAGAAGGGCGCATGGATGAGGCACAAAGAGGAATGAAAACAGACCACTACAATTCCAGGATCATACTGGACAATGTGAGAAAGCTGTCCCCTTTATTTATACAGAAGCAATCACAATCTCCGGCACAGACTTTTGAAGTCATGGTCAAATGGGTGTATCCAAGAATAATTCTGCCATTTGTTTCACCTAAAAACTCAATTTAAGTTCCTACTACAAATCTTGTATCACAAAAAGGAGAACCTAAACATCAAGGAAAAAATGAAACCATAAACACAGATCCCTTCATTAGCATAATAAGGTCAATGCAGACAGCCAAGATAGCATGAATAATAAATGGCCCTTTGGCAAGACATTAACCTCCAAGCTCACAGTGATAGTTAAAAGCCAACTCCACAGCAGCAAACAATGCCAGAATGGATTACAGAATTCTTCTGTAGGGTGGTCCAGTGTCCATGCAAAGGAAGGTGGAGCTGCATTCAGGTGCTGTAGAGACATCCTCTGGGCCTTGCCATGCAGCAGGAAATTCCTTGCAGCCCTGCCTGCAGCGGAACAATACTCTTCACACCTTCGTGTCCCCCACATCCACTATATGGATCCCAGCACTGGCCCATCCACTATATGGATCCCAGCACTGGCCCTTGTGTAAGGATTTATTCCGATATCCCACCCTGGACCCTGCGCCATTTCTTCTTCCTCACAGCTCACAGAATTCGCGCCAGTCCAGCCATCCACCAATCAGATGTAACCTGGCATTCCACCTGAGAATCCCACCCCCAATCTCCCAGCCCCTTCCCCAACCCCGCCCACTCACCAATCATCCCCAGGCATTCACCTGCAGGCACCAATCCCCTGGGCCTTGACCTTAATCCCTCCCAATCCCCGCCCCCCACACCTGGCAGACAAAAAAGGCCCCCAGGTGCGGTTCTCTCTCTGTCTCTCTCTCTTCTTGGGTCCTCTCCCTTTCTCTTCCTCTCTCTCCTCCTTCTTGCCTCCCTTCCCCCCCCTTCCCCTTCCCCTGTTCCTGCCCCACTCGGTTCTCTCTTTCTCTCTCTCTCTCTTTCTTCTTGGCCTTCCCTTCCTCGCTCTTCCTCTCTCCTCCTTCTGGCCTCCCTTCTCCCCCTCCCCTTCCCTTTCCCCTTCTGCTTCCCCTGTTCCTGCCCCACTAAGGCCTCCAGGTGCGGCTCTCTCTCCCTCTCCCTCTCCCTCTTCCTGGCCTCCTCTTCCTTGCTCTTCCTCTCTCCTCCTTCTGGCCTCCCTCCCCCCCCCCTTTCCTCTTCCCCTTTTCCTGCCACGCTGGAATAAACTTCCCAAGATATGTCGTTGCGTCTGGTGTTTTCAGCTCACGGTAAAGAACCAGGTTGTGGGAATTAGCTGCGCGTAAAGTATCGTCATATCCTATGATCTATAACTAGAACTCTTCCACTGTTTTAAATAACTAACACCTGAATGTAAACATTTGAAGCATTTATCAGGGGCAGATGCTTGGCATGGCAACTGAGACACGCTTGGGACACTTGCATACCACACTGAAGTGTCTGTGTTTGAGTCCCATTTCTGCCCTACTAATGCACACCCTTGGGAGGCAGCGGCTGACGCCCCACGTGATTAGATTGATGCTACTCTCATGGGAGATCCAGTTTCTGGTTGCTTGTTGGGTCTGGCACGTCTGTTTCTGTCGGCCTTTCCAATAAACACAGTGCATCCCCGAGAGCACTTCCTTCACACAAGGCTGTTTGTGTCTTACCCTGGGAGGCACAGCGACCGGGAGAAAGCTCCCATCCACTGCTTCACTGCCCCGGTGCTGGCAGAGGCCTGATCAAACACCAACAGGCTGAAGCTGGGAGCCAGGAACTCTGTCAGGTGTTACCCCTCCTTTCCATTAGTTAAAAGGCTCCATTTGTTTACCTCGAAGACAAACAAATACACCCTCCCGCGTAAACAAATCAATGAGTCCTTAGGAAGAACATTTTTGTAGCACTTTCTGGGGGCACTTGGTCACATTAAAAGGCATTCTCTCTTAGGTCTAAACACCTAATGTTGCGCCTTCAGTCATCCATTAGAATAAAGGGATGGTACGAAATCAATGGCACCTCACAATCTCCTGGCTCTGAGAACTTTCCAAACCTGTTGTGAATTGCAAAACCACCCAACGACAGCCAAACAACTTCAGACACAATGGGCACCTTCTTGGGTGTGTGTGTGAGACCGAGCTAGACTTGCAAACCTCTCCACGTCATTTTCACCCAGCCACAATGCAGCAGCACACCCCCCTGCCCCGAAGCATCTTGTAACTTAAACTTCTGCTGTTTGGCCTTGATGAAATTTTTCATCGTTTGGACCTAAGTTAGGAGCAATCAGTTGTTCCCCCTGAGGCTCGTTATCTTTGAAAGGAAGACTCCCACACACGGTTAACTTCCCCAGCGCCCTCTGACTTGGTGAAGAGCGTGGTTTTCCTTCCACACGTCTGGTTTACACACGAAGCTGCATCAGAGCAGCCTCCCCGACCTGTCAGAGGCCCCGACTCCCTGCTCCACACGCCCACGGCAGGAAGCTCCGTCTCTGGGAGACTGGAGGAAAGGTTCAAGTTTTCACCACGGCGGGATGAAGAAGAACACAAAAAAAGTGAAATCGTAAGATCTGGGCATCGCCGGTGCCGCGGGGTGGGTGTGGATGTCCCGCGAAGCAGGTGCACACCAGTGCCCCGCCAGCCCTTGTTACCCTCCAGGCAGGTCCTCGTCAGCCCTGCCGCCTGAGCACCCCAGCAGCTCGCCCTGCACCCCGCGCCCCGCACCCCGCGCCCCGCGCCCTGCACCCCGCGCCCCGCGCCAGCAGCAGCCGGCCAGCCCGCCCCGCCTCACCTTCTCCCGTGAGGCTGGCGCGTGGGCTGCTGATCCGCGGCGGGAACGGGGAAGATTAAAGCCCACGCACCGCCTGTGTCTAGCAATTGCGTCCCCGAGGAAACGCGATCCTCAGAACCAAAGAGCCAGGGCCCTCCACCTCGCGGAGACCGAGTGGATTTTGCCGTGATGGCAGTCGGGGAGATCTGCTAAAGTCTAGGTCTCGCCGCTCCAAACACCCCCACCCCCGCGTGTTGCCCCGCGTGCCGCCCCGCGTGCCGGAGCAGTACCTGGGGCATTCCTCCTGATTCCCAGAGTCCAGTCAGTCCCCAACCAGCCGCCCCGGGCTCTGACGTCTAGGCTACTGTAGCCGCTGCCAGAACTATCGATGAGCCCTTGCGCAACCCCCCTCCCCCGCCCCGCCTCTCCCGGTTTAGAACGGAATTTCTTCTTAAGGCAAATGCAAATTCAGGGTATCCGCCCCGCCGGTAGCAGCGCCCTCCGCCCTCTGTGCCCAGGGCTGGCCGCTGCCCAGCAGCTCAGCCCGGACTCCAGGGGTGGTGGAGTGCTCGGTGTTCGCCTCGCTGCGTCTGGCGCGCGAGGCGTTCCCGGGGCCTGCCGAGTCCGGGTGCGGAGCGGGAGCCGGACGGACCCGGAGGAGATGGCGTCTCAGCCGCCGCCTCCCCCGAAGCCCTGGGAGACCCGGCGGATTCCCGGGGCCGGGCCGGGTCTGGGGCCTGGCCCCACGTTCCAGTGAGTGTGCGAGTCCTCGGGCCGCGCGTGTGGCGTGGGGCTGGCGCGGGGGGTCTGGTCGGAGGCGGTTGAGGCGGTTGTCAGGGGGGCGGTGTCCCCTCCCCCCTCGCCCCTCCAGCCGCTCCTCAACTTTGGGTGGGAGATGAGGTCGGGGTGTCTCGGGAGAGGGGGCCTGGTCCGCGCGCCGCTGCCAGCCGGGCGCCTTCGGGGTCCGACTTCCTGCCCCCCGTGTCGGTGCCGGACCCCGGGAGAAGCGCTGGTCTCCCCGCGATGCTGCGGACCTGCGGGGTGTGTGATAGCGGCGTTCCGAGTGCCCAGCCCCGGCCGCGTTAGGGAGCAAAGTCTTTGTAGAAAGCTGCGAACAGCCTTTGGAGAAGTCGGTGCAAGCCCCAAAGGTCGCTTTTATGCAACCGAGACCGGGACACTTGGCAGACCACGACCCTCGCCCTCCGCCCCAACCTGTTTGCCCAGGATTGAGCGTTGCAGAGGTGTTTGCAGAGCTGGAGTTTTCAGTCCGAGGCCTCGGAAGCTACGGCCTTCGTGTGCCAAGGAGTTTGCTTTGCTGAGGCCTGTAGTGGTTTTGTTGGTATTGTTTCTAACCAGTTATCAAGTGGTTTAAATTTTAAAAGCTGACGGCGTAGGTAGGGAGATGGAGCGGTGTCCTAAGCCTAGGGTGTGTGTTGTAGTGCGTGGATCTGCATGTATTCTCCCCCGCCCCCGTATCAGGGTCACACGTTATTAAGCTTTCCTAACATGAAAATCCACCAACATGTTGGAGTGTGTTTCTGCTGTGTTCCGAAATCTTGTAATGAATGCTTTGTGCACAGTAACTGCTTCATTTAGTGATGGAGTTACAAGGTTTCATTGAGCTGTTAAGTCACAGTAACACTTTTGGATACCTGGTGTTTTTGTTTTGTTTTTTTATTCTGCTTTCTTTTAGAATGTTTGTGGTAAAAAAAAAAAAAAAAAGAGGCTTTATTTTTCCATCTGTTAAATCCTTTGGTGAAACGAACCACTTTCCCACCGTTTTTCAGTGTGAAATGCTGTAAACACGAATGAGGTATTTAGCACTTGACATTATGAAATACTAACATTTCTCAGACGCGCGGCAGTTTTGTGTTTTAATACACGGCAAAGCCTTCCATTGTTCCTAATGTTAACCAGTGTTTAGTTTGGTGTTTAGTGCACTCAAAACTTTTTCCCCCCTTGGATTTATATTCTTAGGGTTTGCATTGTATGTATTTATACCTGAAAGTTTAAAATTGATAAATATTTTGTATTATTTTTTCAATGTTATGTTTTCAAAAGCTAGTGATGTGTAAATACATACGGTAGCTATATTGCATTTTATAAGTTTTTTAAGTTTAGTAGTGCACAAATGTGCATTATAAATATTTGTTACTGTTGACACAGCTGTGTTTTTCTTTTCATGTTTTCTTATCACTTGGCCATCTTTGTAAATCAGTTTAGAAGAGTACGTCACTGTAGGTTCCTTTCTGTTTGTTTTGCTGATATCTCTCCCTCTGCAGCTTGTCTATTCCTGTATTTTCATTTTTGCGTTTTTGTGCAGTTTGCTTTTAATTTAACATAGCCAAAATCATCACATTGTAATTTTTGTAGTTTTCATGTTCATACCTTTTTAACCAGCTGAAATAGGCTTTGTTACATGAAAATCAGTGAGTTAGAGAACGTGATTTTTTAATTTCCTATGTGGATAGCTGATTGTTCCAGCACCATTTGTTGAGTTGTCTTTTTCATCCTGGTTTCTAATGCCATCTACCCCATATCAAGCTTTCCTAAAGACATACTTCTGTTTTGGAGACTTTCTGACTTGTTTTATTTGTCTGTACATTTAAAAATGTATATTTGCAAGAGAAACAGAAAGCTCTTTGATCTACTGGGTCATGCCCCAGATGAACGCAACAGCCAGAGCAGGGTGGATTGAAGCCAGGAGCTACTTCCAGGTCCCTCAGGAGGGAGGCAGCAGCCCAGATGCTTGGGCCGTCTTCCACAGCTTTTTATGGGCAAGGAGCAATTGAGGGTGGAGCACCAGTATGGCCTGCTGGCATTGCAGGTGACAGCATCACCCACATACCACCATGACACTGGGATGAGAGCTATTTGTCTGTTCTTGTACTAGCCTTAGTAACAGCTTTATTTACTTTTGAAACCTATTGTGTCATGAGTCTCCAAATATTGCTGTTTATCAAAATTACCACTATAGGCCTGCTGCAATGGCTCAGTAGCTAAAGCCTCACATTGTATTCTGTGGGATCCCATATGGGTTCATGTTCGAGTTCTGTCTGCTCCACTTCCCATCCAGCTCCCTGCTTATGGTTTGGGAAAGCAGTCAAGGATGGCCCAAAGCTTTGGATCCTGCACCTGTGTGGGAGACCCAGAAGCTTTTGGCTCCTGGCTTTGGATTGACTCAACTCTGGCTGTTGCAGCCATTTGGGGAGTGAACCAGCAGATGGAAGATCTTTCTCTCCCTTCCTCCTTCTCTTCATAAATTTGATCTGCCTTCCCAGGAAAAAAATAATAATACTAATAAAATAAATTGCCTTTATAAAAGGACTTATTGGGGTTTTTATTGAAACTGCACTAGATTTTATACATCAAGCATAATTTTTCCATTGTGAATATTGTATGAGCTGCAATCAATGAGCATTTTAATCTTCTTTTTAAACTTTAATATTTTGTAATTATCTTCATGGAATTCTTTCCTATCTATGTTTTTGTTGATTCTTTTCTTTTACATTTTGTAGTTATTTATTGTTATTTTATGTTAATTATCCTCCAGTTACTAGTTAATCAGAATGATATTGATTTTTTAAAATTTATTTTATTTTTATTAGAAAGACATTTACAGAGAGAGGAGAAATGGAGAGAAAGATCTTTGACCTGCTGGTTCACTCCCAAGTGGCCGTATTGCCATCCAAAGCCAGGAGCCAGGAGCTTCTTCCAAGTCTCCCACGCGGGTTCAGGGTCCAAAGCTTTGGGTCACAAGCAGGAAACTAGAAGGGTAGTGGAGCAGCCGGGATGCTAACCAGCGCTCACATAGAATCCTGGCATATACAATGCAAGGACTTTAGCCACTAGGTTACCATGCTGGGCTCATGGTATTGATTTTTTTAAATATAAATGTTATAAATAGCATATCAAACTCTTCATTTGTTGTAAGGCTTGATTGCAGCTCTTGAATTCTGTGTAGGTAATTCTGTCATTTTCAAATAAGCCAGTAGATTAGGCAGTAACTGGTGGTGGTTCTGGCTTTCATTAGAATGCTTATGAAGTCTCACCATTATATTTGATTTTTGGTTTTGACATAATGCTGTCAAACTTCTCTCTGTCTTACTCAGATTTTTACTGTAAAGAAATATTAAATTTTATGACTTTTTTCCCTTCAATATGAAAATGATTGATTGCATTGATTACCTTTCTAGTATTGAGTCATCCTTGCTTCTCTGGGTAAATTCTGCTTAGCTTCTTTTCTTAGTGGTTTTGTTTGGTTTTTGTTTTGTTTTTTAAATACATCCATAAATTCTTTTCTAGTATTTTGAGACAATTGCATATATGTTCCTTGATGAAGTTGAAAGTTTCTTTGTATTATACTTTCTGGTTTATCTAAACTTATTAAAGGTTAGAGCTTTCTAATTTGTATTTCTCTATAGGTAGGCTATCTTTTTTGTAGCCTTTAAATGATTGTTTCTTTTTTTTTAAGATTTTTTATTGGAAAAGCAGATATATAGAGAGGAGATATAGAAATATCTTCCATTTACTGGTTCACTCCCAAAGTGACCAGAACAATCAAAGCTGAGCTGATCCAAAGCCAGGAACCTCTTCTGGGTCTCCCACATGGGTGCAGGGTCCCAAGGCCTTGGGCCATCCTCAACTGCTTTCCCAGGCCACAAGCAGGGAGCTGGATGGGACATGGAGTAACCAGGACACGAACTGGCACCCGTATCAAATCCTAGCACTTTTAAGATGAAGGGTTAGCCACTGAGCCATTGCACCAGGCCCAGGAATAGAAATCTTGTATTTGAATAGAAATCTTGTATTTGAATAGAAATCTTGTATTTACTGGTTTAATTCCCAGATGCCTACAACAGCTGGAATTGGGCCAAACTAAAGCCATGATGCCAGAACTCAGTCTGAGTCTCCCATAAGAGTGGCATGGACCCAAGCACTTGAGCCTCCTGTGGTGTGCATAAGCGCCAAGTTGGAATTGAATGCAGAGCCAAGGCTTGCATTCTAATCTGGAATGCAGGTGACCCACACAGTATTTTAACCACTACACCAAATGGTTATCCCTTGTTCCATTTCTAAATTCTGAATTCAGTAAAAGAAGAAAGTTAAATGTTCTAGGAGCTTATTCACAGTATTGTGCAAAGCTAAACTAAAACTTTAGTCTGGATTATAAATTTATAGAGTATGTACTTGCAAGTGGAGAATTAGTCAATGGCCCCATAGCATGCAGGTCCCCTGGTTTCTTATTAGCTGAGTACTGTGGAGTGTACAGTCTTCCTAGACATGACCTAAATTACAAAATTATGTCCTCCTTTGTTCTCTGTAGTTTAATCTCCTCTTGCGAGTTGGTGCCTCCATTACCCTGGTTGGCCTAGTTTTGTTTCTGAAGCTAATTTTTCATTAATCATAATTTTCTGGGGCTGGCATGACAATAGACTAAGCCTCTGCCGGTGGTGCCAGCATTTCACATAGGCACTGGTTCATGTCCTGGCTGCTCCACTTCTGATCTAGCTCCTTGCTTATGGTTTAGAAAAGCAGCAAAGGATGGCTCAAGTCCTTGGGCCTCTGAACACATGTGAGAAACCCAGAAGTTCCTGGCTTTTGATCAGCTCAGCTGTGGCCATTGCGGCCATTTGGGGCATAAAACCCTAGATGGAAGATCTTTCTCTGCTCTTCTTTTTATTTTTCTCCTTTCCTCTTTCCCTCCCCTCTTTCTGTCTATCCTTCTTTGTATATTTTCTCTGCCTCTCAAA